GAAGAGACGGTTGGCTACTCGAGGCCAATGAGCGAGCGACACATGTCCCTATTGACGGCGGCGTCAGTACTGAAGAGACAGGATGGCAAGTCGAGGCGTCGACCAGGCAAGTTTGAAGACAGGTATGTCAACTAGCCCGGTCACCGTCTAGCAGACTGTGAACCGAGGAAGAGTTATCCCGGGCAGAACAGGTAATCCCAGTCACACTTACACGGATGGAATTAAGAGGCAATTGAGAGGGAGATTTATGATTTGGATTGGGCCGCGGTGAGGGCCGAACACATTTGGGCCGTTGCAGCCTGGGCCCATCCAGAAAGGATTTTCACTCAGTAATGGCATAGTTGCTCGGTAATGGCATAGTTGCTCGGTAATGGCATAGTTGCATAATTGATGTCGTACTAGTGGTCAAGTGAGGTTCGGCCGAGATGTCCGCTGCCTCACTGGGTTCCACGGTTCTTGGGTTAGCTCGGCAGGAAGGCCGACGGCTAACCAGCATGACTTATCCCGAGCTCGGCTAAGCCGGAATGCAACCGAGCTCGGTCGTCATTGAGCTTGGCGAGCAGAGCGCTCTAGCTAGCTGCGCAGTACGGCCGTTAACAGCCGAGATGCTGTAGCCCGGCTGCCGAGCTCCCAGTGGTGTGGGCTGACAGTTAGGTGATATTCAGCTAGATTTGTGCTGACAGATGGGATAGCAGCACCACGTGTCGAGAGACTAATGGGAGTAGATTTGGGGCGCAGAAGGTATATAAGCGAGTCTGTACCTCCCACGCTAGTCTGCGCCCCCACGCTGAGGCAGATGAACATTTGGTGAGATTTATACTAAACACTTAATCCTCTCTCTCTCTCTCTATCCCTGTGTGTGTCTAACTTGATCATCAGAAGGGTATTCCGGCCACACACCGCCGAGTAGCTCACCGCCGTTGTGCTCGCAAGTCGATCAGACAGGCAGGAGCTTGAAAGAAAGGAGTACGGACTTGCCGGAATATTTGCTCCCCGTACAAATATCTATTTAGTTTATCTTATTTTAGGTTAAGGATTATATATGGTCAGTTATTGTTTTCCTCACTATTTTATATTATCGAATATATCATAAGGTATTACTTCTTTGATTACTTTTTTAATAATCATTTCTAGGCAATGAAACCAATCATAAATATGCAAATAGTGAGTAGTACAAAACAATGACAAAATACCAAGAGGCATATAATTGAGAAATTATTCGATAAGTAGAATATGCATGACCATCCTTTATAATAAATAAATAAATAAAACAAGAGTAAATGATACTTTTCAAAAAAATTATCCAAATTTTACTTTGGTTATTAATTTTCTAATTGTAACAATTATACTTGAACTTATGTTTCTGAGCAAAATTTTTGAAATGATACATTCATTTCAATGTTTTCCAATTTAGACTGAAAGTCCTAACTAAGCACATTCAAAGGACATTATAGGTCCTAACCAAGCACATTCAAAGGACATTATAGGAATTTTATTTTCGGAAATGAGCTGTAGCTTGACAAGGGAGGCTCGAATTGGCTCGAAAGAGAGAGAGGAGAAAAAGAAGGGAGAGAAGGGAGAGGAAAAACGGAGGGAGGAGATTGTCGCGCAGCACCACCGCCGTCGCCTCGCCGCGAATCGTCGCAGCTTCAGACCGTCGCCGCCGTCGTCGCAGCACCTTTGCTCCTCGCCGATCGTCCCAGGTGGAAGCTCCGCCACCGCCTCGCCCCACCTCCTCCTCCAGCAGATTTTTATGGCCCCCTCCCCTCCCTCCTCCTCCTCCTCCTCCTCCTCCCTTCTCTTCTCCCTTCTTCTCCTTCTCCCTTCTTCTTCATCTCCTTCTTCGTTCTGCAACAAAGAGACGGAAAAAAGGAAAAAAAAAAAAAAAATCGGCACCAAAACGACGTCGTTTTGGTGTCGAGCCGGGTTTCGAGCCACGGGTTTTGAGCTACGTAGCACTACCGTTTTATTTTAGTAACAAATTATACATTTTATCCTCCGAATTTCACTTAAATTTTATTTTAGTCTACTCATTTTTATAACTTTCACTTGAATTTTAAATGATGAACTGATGAGAAGACTAAAGTTTGAGGATCTTATTATTATTATTATTATCATTATTATTATTATTATTATTATTATTATTTTGAAAACTTAATTGTTACAATTAAAAGATAAAAAATAAAATAAAATTCAGGTGAAAATTGAGAATAAAAATAGAATTTACCTAAAAAAACAAAAACAAATTAGTAATACAAATTTCAATTACTAAATATAGGTTTGATCGATGGTATTTTGTGGTGTGAGTGGCACTACTTCTTGCAATTCAAATGAAAGCGATACACAATGCTTATCAATGGGGCTTTGTAGCATCTTGAATGATGGGAATTGACAATGCATGTTGTGACTTGTGGCGTCATATGTATGGTATTTCACACACGCACACCGCCCAAAAAAAAAAAAAAAAAAAAAAAAAAAAGAGAAGGCAAATAGGGCAGCAACCAGCTAGATTAAAAAAAAAAAAAATCACAAATCAATCTAATTCAGATTAAATTACACAATTTGATTTTATTTTCTCAATATATGGTTGAATCCTGATTTTTAAAATAGAAATATTGTATTGAGTATAATTGATACATAATTTTCATACATAGTGATGTGGTTCATTGTGAACATTTTACTTTAAAATAAAACACTATTAAAAATAAATTTATTAAAAATAAAGCCATTGTTACATCATTTCTGTCAAATTTTTGGTATAAATTTTATATAAGAATAAAATTTTTCATACATGTACATAATTTGTTTATTTATAGTAGAGTATCTTATTAATCTCTCATAAATATTCATAATTTGTTAACTTTCTACTCTTAGTATTTAAATAATTATTATTTGGAATGATAACATATTATTTAATAATTGTTTTGTATTTTTAATTACAGAGATATTAATGACAATTCATAATTTTTTATTTTTTACTTTTTATCCCAATAACATAGGTCGGTGTCTAAAACATACACCTCAGTAAATTCTAATCACTACACTAATATTTCTAACTTTTAATTATTAGACTATGGTTGAAGAAATTAATAATTAATAGAGTCAAACTAGGCTTGGTTTGCAATTAAGGAATCAAAGTTTCGAGTCTAAGCAAAATCAATAATGTGTTCCATTTCTTTACCATGAGTTCATTCATGCATTTTTACCCTAACTTTTTTTCTTCCATGGGGACTCGCAAGTAGGATCCTTACCAAATAACCTACTCTTTTATGTACAAATCAAACAAGACAAGTCAACTTCAAACAAGTTATGTTTTAAATTTTATTTTGAGTTGAAAAAACAAATAAGTTAAAAGCTTAATTTTTTTTAAAATTTTTTTATTTACCAAATGCAATAAGTAATTCTAATTTTTTTCAAGGAAAATGATATATAAGTTTACTTTCTAAATCTAATAATATATAAGTGATATAATTGATTTATGATTAAAAAAATATGTGAGAGAGTGTTACGTTAACTATTCTAATTAATTGTCACACCAAATTTAAATAGTAATGCTGAGGAGAGGAGCTGGTTCCTGCACTAACACTGACAGTGTAGGTAGTGGTTGGTTGGGGTTGGGATTGGGTGACGCCGACGTGTCAGCCAAGGTGCCACGTGTCCTGGTCGTGACGCCGAGATGATCTCAGCGAGGTCGAGGTTAACTCCGAAGATATCGGAATCCGAGATAATCGAATAAAGGACAAGAGTCCTAAGACGAAGATGGGACTTAACCAAGATAAGGATAAAGCTCTTAGGGAGTTTATCTTTATCTCTTAAAGAGTCCAAAGTAAGCACTAAATTGGAGTTCATAAAAGTCATACTTCTAGTAGGACTTAGATTGAGTATATTATAAAAGAGAGGCACCCCCGTGGGTCTAAGGTATGCAATTTATGTTTTGAGTATTAAGTTTCGCACTTGATTATCTTTGAGAGATATACTGACTTGATCGTCGGAGTGCCCCCGGGTGGAAGAACCACCGCCGGAGCCTTTTCTTTCTGTTACAGGTTACTGAAGCCATCCATTCTGCCTGTGCTCTCCAGCTGATTACTAAGCAGACAGTGTGGTCAGATTTTCACCCACACATGTGAGAGAGTGTTACGTTAACTATTCTAATTAATTGTCACACCAAATTTAAATAGTAATGCTGAGAGGAGGAGCTGGTTCCTCCACTAACACTGACAGCGTAGGTAGTGGTTGGTTGGGGTTGGGGTTGGGGTTGGGGATGAGGATTTAAAGAAGGAAGAAGATGAGGGTCTTTTAGGTATGATGGATTGTGTATTAAGTAAAACATAATATTGCAAATTCATTAACATCTCGTTAAGGAATTCGTTATTTTAATTGACTTTTTTAATTTTATGAAAAATGTATAGAAAAGGATAAAGAGTGATGTGTACAGAGAGAATTTGACGTGCTTGATTGATTTTTTGAAAGTTGAGTTTTTTGCTTTTCATATTTTTTTTTTGTTTTTAGTGAATTTTTTTAATATGTTAACCAAAATGTTTAAAAAGTAAAATATTTGTTAAAAAATATTTTTAAAAATCAATAAATACATAATAAAATCAAAATGTACTGAGTTTTTGTATTTTTAGCATTTAATGAATTTCTTAAAGAATTTTTTCACAAATATGATACTTTTTAAGTGTGTTCATATTAGGTGTATTTGAAAACTAAAAATTTTGCTTAAAATATTAAAAAACATTCAGTGAAAACAAAAAATAAAAAAATTCAATTTTAAAAAAATTGAAATAAACCAAACAAAGTACTAAAAGCATTTTCCTGTCACCTAAAAAAAAATTATGTAACAAAATGTAGCACATGGTAGCTAGAATTGGCTCTTTTCTAAATTGAAAGTGGACATGTATTAATTAATTTAATGTAATAAGTACAGTTTTTCTTATGGATTTGATATAATTCTCAATTATCATTGCAAAAACAAAAGAAAATTAAATGAAACCCAGCAATGAATAAAATTTATCTGAATTAGGGAAAAAAATTGTTCAAGAATTTGCCAAATTTTGGCAAAAAAAACATTAAAGAGTCTAAACTCCCTAATCTTAACTTTTTTTTTTTCTATTAAAAAAATGAGAAACTCCTTGAGGGCACAAACTCCCCTTTTTTCTTTTTTTGATTCTTTTTTGGCAACAAATTTGTGAAAACAAAAACTACAAAATTTGAAAGTTAGGAGAGCATAATTCTAGGAAATTAGAAAATTATGAAATTCTCTAAAGAATTTCGCCCACTAAGCCTCGAAGCCTCACCCGATTACCCTAGTCCAGCCCGTGCTAGATCAGCTGCCGAAAATCGGGCCCCATATGCTGATGGATCAGGTAATCGTCTCCGTTCGATGCATCAAACATCATGTTCTGATGATGAACGTACTGCTGTTGATTTTGTTGGGCCCTCTGCATCTCTTTCTGCCTCCGGAGCTCCAGCACTTTTCGGTGCGAGTTCGAGTGTTTCGTCAGCATGAATGTCGGGCTTGCTGCAGGCCGATACTCAGGCACAAGCCGGCCCGACTTATACCGTACCCCACAAGCATTGCAAAGTGTTTTCGGGCCCATAGGCCCGGTCCGCCACTGTGGGGTCTTGTCAGTGGCACAATGCAAACACTTCCTTCCATCGCCACCGTTAGCCATGGGGACCGGATTGTCTCCTCCTTCTTGCTTCTTCACTGCCGCTTTCACTGTCTTTTTGCCGTCACTCGTCTCCGTGTCAGGCTCGGATGAGGCCGGTGAGGCCATGGTGGTGGTCGGAGAGAGAACAAGAAGGCGAGACGTCCAGTTGCACGGGGCCGCACGTGACCGCTTGCTGCGGGCTTTGCCCGGTACTGACCCTTCTGGACGGAATATTGGGTTGTTTTGGTTTGATTCGGGCTGGAATTCGCAGTTTTCAGTGTCGGTTCGGGCTTTCATTCCCGATATTAGCTGCAGCTTCTGCAAGTCCTCGGTCGAAAATGATTCTTCAACGAAATTCGATAGCCACTCTAGCTCAGCTAAATCGTCATACTGTCAAACACCAAAACAAAAACACAACATTATCTCAATAAAAGCCTATATATTTAAATTTCTTCTCTTCAAAACAATATTCCAATATCTATTTGGTTGTTAATATACATATATTAAAAATTACAGTTCTAATCTCTATAATTTGCTTATTGTATAAATTTAGTGCTCGTAATTTTGATTGTATCTCGTTCAAAAAAATATAATAATAATAATTTTGATTGTATTTTATTCTTGAGTTTTTAATTTTGTTTAAATTTAATTCAACTGATAATGTGTTTTTAATTGTATTGAAATCAATGAATAAAATAGTTTACCATTCTCAAAGTAATTGAGGAGTTAATGCTCAATTTGAAACAATTTATTTGCTTTTGAATAGACTATTTTGTTATTGATTTTTGTACAATTTCAACTAATGTGAAAAATTATACAATAAAATTAAAAAAAAAAAATAAGTATTTACAATGTAAAAAACAAAAAGGTTAAATTTCAAAATTAAGGATTTACAATAATTTTAAACTCTAAGTATTTTAAGAGTACTTATTTACAAAATAAAAATTTAACAGATAAAATCATATAAAATTATAAAAGAAAAAAATTACACAAGTTAACCGCTGCATAATTTGACCCTTTTTTTTTTTAATTGTTTTCGTTTGTGTAATTCAAATTTTGTAGAATTTTAATAACAGCCTCCTCTCAACTAGACCAAGCTAGTACACAGCTTCGCTACTTATGAAAAGTTTTGAATTTATTTTCTTTATATCAACATGGGACCCATGAGGCTCAAAAACTGCATTTTTATTTTGTTTTTTTCTTTCATTTTCTGAGGAACCAAACAGTGAAAGAGCCAGTTTCTGTTTCCAAAAGAAGCCAAAAGTCATTTAAAGGTGATTCTTCCATCAATTTTCATGCAAAAAGAACTTTAAAGAATAAGGGGGGAAAAAAACAGATATTATCATTATCAAAACTGAATAAAGGATATCAAAACAAAAAAATATTATGTGCATAAAATTAAAATATGAAAAAAAAAATGCACAGAGAATGCCTTATATTACCGGAATTTATTTTAAATGACACTCAAAATAAATTCAAATTACACAGGGCACATTTTATGCAATTTTTTTGTATTTTATTTCTGTGAACATAACACTTATCATTTTCAAAGATTTAATATTCATACATTAAATAATTTATTTTTGAAGTAAAGAAATCTTTATATTATGCTGAATTTAGCTCTAATTATTATTTTTATTTATTTATATTTTTGCATGAACACATGTAAAAATGTAAACAATTACCGGGACGCAGAGGTCGTTACAGAAGTGAGGGTCAACCAAGCTCCGGCAACCCATATCGCCGGTAAATCCGCCAGAAAATGAGGAGTTGCAGCTGTCAACGACCGTGACGGTGGAGGACTCGGTTGAGGTTCCGGTGAAGGTGTCAAACACGCCACCGTCCGCAACCACCGCATCGTCATTGGGGTAATTTAGGAGGTCATCGATGATGAAATGGTCGCCGCCACCACCGCCACCGCCACCAGTTTTCGTATCGGAATGTCGCTTTTCGGGTGTAAATTGGGTGTTGTAGTATCCTCCTTGGAAGAACTCTGGATTTTCCATGGTGTTATTTTTTTTTTTAATGAATTTTTTAGGCAGAATAAGAGGGGTTGGAAGGAGGAGAGTGAGCGTTGAAGAGTGTTTGGAGAGAGAGAAAGTGTGGTGGGAATTTACTAGTAAAATGTTTTGGAGGAGAGAGAGAGGTGGAGAGAAGAGTGAGGGTGAGGTTTTATTTGCGTATCAAAGGGACATGCGGACAGCTAAAATGAAGGATTTTGATGAGGACAAATTTGGCTTTAAAAAAAGTTATAAATTTTATATTTATATATCTTTTTTTTTCTTTTTGAATTTCATTAAAGTGAAAATAAAGTGTCATAATTCTATGTTCATGTAATAAAAAAAGGAGAGAAATTTGTTGGAGAAGTTACTTTGGTGTCCTTTATCGGGTAGTGAGAGTTGATGAGTGTGCTTTACCATTTCTGTCCTTTTACGGGCAAATGGAGAATTTTACTCTATCATATTTTATTTATTTTTAATTGGGTGTATTAGTCAGATTGCACGTATTCCGATTAATTTTAAAATTAATAATTAAATAAATCTTCAATGAGTTAGTAGGCTGGATCGAATTCAAAATTTTAAATTTTACCATCAAACTTTTACTGGTTAAGCCAATTCTTTCAAATTTTATTATCAGTAGTGCTAGAGACTACTAATTTAATAACTCTAAATTCATCACTAATGACGTGACAAAGCAAAAAAAAAAAAAAACAAACAGAAAGCTAGCACAAGACATCACATCACAGGGTACTCCTTTAGAGCTCACCCATTAGAGCTCTCAATCTTTTTTCTTAATTTTTATATTTTGCAGCAAACGTGTGAGAGTAGGCAGCTTCAACGTGGGGCAAGTTAGATGAGCTCCCCCTAGTCATGAATATAATATGTCATCAAATTTTTTTTTTTTTGTTACTCTCTTGTATCACGAGTCTATATAGTTATTTATGATTGGTTTTGTATTTTATATAATTATTAGGTGATTAATAATAGAAAATAATATTTTATCATGGATTCAGTGATACAATATGATAAAAACAAAAAAAAGATCTTGTGGTGTATATCAATATTCATAATGATATGATGGTTATATTTTGTTACAAGAATTGTTATCCATCACCATTTTGCATCACCGTTTACCTAGATATTTATGATCAATTTTTTATATAAAAATAATTATTAAAAAATTAATAAAAATAAATAATATCTTGTCACTGTAGTGATAAGAAAAGAATTAAAAAAAACAAATATATATATATATATATAACAATCATCTTTCGTTATATAACAAAAGAGTGTTCAATTTTGTTTTAATAAATCGTTTTTGATAGTATAACAATTTATTGTGAAAGTGCTCGTGGGAGTGAAGAAACCAGATGGTTAGACGTAGAACTCAAGTATAGTTGCAATAATATGGTTATAAAAGGATTATAAAGGTGGTTCGTATTATTTATTTGATGGTAATTATTTTTTATTTTTTGTGTGTGATAATATCTCTTTATGTATAGACATTCTCATTTTTTACAGATTTTCTCTTTCCTCTGTAGAGATTTTCTTTATCATTCTTGGGATCTATTTTGTATCTCGATGTACTTTATTGGATGATTAATTGTTGAATGTGTAATATATTAAGCATTTTGTTTTCTCATAAAAAATAATAAGAAAAAAAAAGTCAGGTATGGTTTATTATAGTGAAAATTAAAGATTTGTTAATCGCATAGATTTGAAATAAACAACAATCATATGTACCTAAAAAAATATATAATTTTTGAAATGTATATAAAATTTATTTTGAATATAATTCATACTTAAAAAAAACTAGGTACAAATTATTTTTTCAATACTAAGAAGTGACTTCACATCTCAAATTTTTATTTGTTAGAAATAGCGTAGTGTTTGGATTGCATACCATCTTTGAAATGTTTGTATACAGAGAGGACAATTTCACAAAAATAACAAAAAATATTGAGCGTAACGGTTATATTATTTTATGCGATGTTATCGGCAAGATTAAGTGGATAGGTCTTATCTCTCACTAATAAAACATCATTATGATCACTCTAACAAATTAAAATATTTTATTGAATAATAATATTATAGAATCACCATTCTAAGGCCTCGTTTGGGAACATGCTAATTTAGTAACTTTTTGGCTATTTGGCTAAAAAGGTAGGTAAAAAAAACTTGTATGTTTGGGATGACTTTTTGGCTAATTACGAAAAGATGTGCAAAAAGTAGAGAGAAAAGAGAATCTTTGACTTTTTTGTATGAGTTGTTGGCTTTTTGACTAATTTAGTAACTTTTTAACTAATTGACTAAAATAGCCTCTTGCCAAACGAGACCTTAGTCTTCATTTGGAAAGAGCTAAAATAGCCTGATTTTTTAACTTTTTGAGTCTCGTTTGGTTTTGCTCTTGACTTTTTTGATTTTTGTGGGCGAAAAAGTGTAACGATTATGGTTTAGATGTAACATTTTGTCTTATTAATTTATGTAATCAATTTTATCTTTTGAATTTTTTTAGTCAAAAAGTCAAAATCAAACATTGCTTTAATATTTATTTCAATTTCAAACCATCTAAGATAGAGAAGTTATTGAGTAGTGTTAGAGTAGTGTTCCACACTATTTATTAAAAAATAAATATCTAGTTATTTCATAAAAAAATGATAAAGTAAAAATTAAGCAGCAGCAGCAGCAGCATCATCATATGTGCCGGAGCAAAAAATAAATTTCCATCCAAGATGGCCCAACTGTGGTCCCACCACTTGATAAAACAAAGAAAACAAATAAAAACACACGTACAAAGTAAAACTACCGGTAATCATGATCTTGATCATGACCATCATAATCACCACTCACACAACAAATAATAATCACAAGCATGTACACGACATCACATGTAATGATATCTTCATGGCTAACATTACATATCATCAATGTGGGCATTTAGGTCAATAGACAAAGCTGAATGTCAAAGCCCCAAAGGGTAAAAGTGTAAAGTTATACAAACTCGTAGTGGGGTGACCGAGAGAACCGGTAATAAAAATGTGTGAAAAAGAAGTAATTAAGTGTTCAAATTCAACCCCTTAGGAACCGATCTAGCAGGTTTGTCGCTGTCCCGATTCCTCTGCTTTTTTAATTTTAATTTCCCTCGGTTCTCCCGCTTTTAATTTTTCTTTTCTTGTCTTCTCTTTTTATTTTTAATTTTTAAATAAAAAATATTTTTTTTATTTTAACCCCTTATTTTGTCTAATATTTTATTTTCCACCCCTGCAATTGTTAATTTTTTTATTCTGCCCCCCCAGTTGTGAGCACGATGGTTACAGCTCGACTCGGTAGAAATCGACGGCTGAGATCTTCCCCACGTGTCACACTCTTCTGACGCCACTGTCATTTTTGATACAACAATGATAGAGATCACTAATTTTGGAGCCTAAAAATGAAAAATGTTGTAGACCCCATATTTTCTACCAAATAAATGACCAAACCTCTCACATGGGTGTGGGGTCCACTCCACACCCATGTGAGAGGTTTGGTCATTCATTTGGTAAAATTTTTTGTATCTCTAGCATTACTCCTCTAAAATATCACTAATGACATGATATTCAATAAAAAAAAAATACAACACCAAAATCAAAACATCAAATCATTCATTGTGGAACTTACTATCACATCATTAGTGACAGCACTAATTAGTACTCTCACTTATTTTCTTTTTCGGTATTTCACTTTTTTCACCCAACCTGCCACGTGGGACAACGAGCGAGTCCACTGTTAACTGTCGGCATAATTGACAGGTGTCGGTTAATAAGATGTGAAGAATGGGTAAAATGTGGGCCCGTGTTCCACGACACCAATCCCAAGTGAAGAGATTGGATAAGGTGTTAATGTTAGTACTGTTATTTATAATTAACATGACAATACACTAATGTCAAATATCTATTTTATCTATATAGGATAATATGCAAAAATTGAACTTGGCATAAATATCACAATTTTTGTTTTTATAAAGCACTCTTAGAACTGTAATTGCAACTGTTATAAATTTATAATTGTTGAATTTCAGAACACTTATACTGTGTTTGGTTGGAAGATTTGGAAAGAAAAAAGAAAAAAATGTATGAAATTATATGAAATATAGGCATAATTTATTCACATTTCACCTACTTTTTTCATTTTCTTTTCTAAATCTCTTCTCAAATCTCTCAACCAAACACAGTATTAGGGCGTCTGTATCAATATCAGTCACATTAAATTTTAAATTAAAATTATAATAAAAAAGTTACTTTTGTTATTTTAGCTAGCATTTTTTTATATATACACTTTTTTACGTTCTTTGTTTTAAAATTTAATATATATATATATAGTTTCATAACCAAAAAGCTATTTTGTATTATTAATATATATGTATATATATGCAATTTCATATTCCCCTAAAAAAAAAAAAATAAAAAAAAAAAAATATATGCCTAGGTTGTTCAGCCAGACACCCAAAGCTCTAAATATTGTTATTATATCTATGCAATTTCATATTCTGAAGAAAAAAAAAAAATTCCTCAAAAAAAATAAATTTAATGATGGTGTAACAGTCGACCATCTTACAGGATGTTCATATTTCATTTTCTAAAAATATATATCTATATATATATATACGGCAGTAGTCAATTGTCTGGTGATATGTCTAGTCGGATGACCGGCAACATGTCCTGTCACTCTTAAAAATAAATAATAAAATATTATCTAACATGTAATTATATTACTACATGTAGCGATGTGCTATAGCAATGCTAAATTTAATATTGATTCAGCTCGACTGATGCAAGAGTGATTTTAAAACACTTCTTTCTAATATAACCCAAAACTATCATAGCCACTAATACTTTTACTCATATGAATAGGCCTAGTACTATTATAAATGAAATGTTAGAGTTAGTGTTGATATCTCAATTTTTGAGTCATTTACATTTTCTTGAAGAAAATGATTATATGCGTAGGTAAGGGTGTGCGCGGTATGATTCGAACCGTTTGAAAATAAAATTATAAATCAAATCGTGAATGGTAGATTGGCTAATAATCAAATCACAATTTGAGAGATTTGAAACGGTTTCAATTTCCTAATTGATTGAAGAGTATTCTTAAATAATTATCAAGTACTTGCATAATATAAAATACTAATTTGAATAATATTTTATATATATTGTGT